AAGAGTGAGAGAGAATGTATGGTAAATGAACCTGTGTATATAAATGCTAAAAATACTTGAGTATTTTACATAAAACTTAAACTTGATTTTTGTATGTGATGCGTCACTGTGGCCTTTCCTACGCACTCCAAAGAAAGCAAGCTATAACGGGAAAGAGGGTAGGCAGAATTGTATATATTCGTAACTCCAGTCATTTGATCAATTCATGTTTTGGAAAAGTCTTTAGACTTTTTTAATGGACAATGCCAAGAACAGGTGCACTTACTTTTGTGAAGGAGGAGATGTAAAAGACCAAATCCATTCCCCGTGCAACGGTGGTATGGGACAGTGAAAAGCAACGCGCTCGGTCTGACGTGCTGAGGAAGGTACTACTGATTTCTCCGAAGCAGCAGGGCGAGGTCGTGATGTTTGGCTGCCTTTTTCCCCCCTGCAGTTTACTTATGTTGACAGCACTTTTCTTTGCTCCTATTTGCACTATTTTGAGAAGCAAGTGTTTATCGTTTGTGTTGAGAAATAGAGAACTTGTTGCAGGTACCGCGTTGAAGCCTGTACAGACAGCGGCCTGACGGGGCACAGTAAAGGAACCTTTGTGTGTGTTTGCCAATCAAAGTAAGCACTTTCGTTGTTCATTTCGTACTTTGGGCACAATTGTGAACATTTTATTTCTTCTTTCTTGAGGTGATTTATAGAAAAAGTAGTTATGATGCTGGTTACTATGTAATGAAAGTAACCCTCATCCCCCTTCTTAAACTTACCCTGGTGTGAGAAGCGCTGGAAACGTAACAAAGCCTGGTTCCTGCCATCTTCTGGTTTAGTTTAAACGCCCAAGTGCTTTGCCAAATGATTCCTCCTGATGTAATGGACTAAAAAAAGTGTTGTTTGTTCTCCTTTTCTAACAACAGTAGCAAGTGGGGAAAATTATTTACAAATTCTCATGTTTTGAGATTCACTAGTTTTATGGGTGTTTATACTTTGAGCATTTTTACGTGTGAATCTGAAGTGGAAAAAGGAAATTAGTAGCAAAATCCTAATTCTCCAACACACAGGAATATATACTTTTTATTAAAAAATCGTATAGTTTATTCTTATGAATGATGTAAATACTTTTTTAAAGCTCCATTTCTCCTGTTGTTTCATCATACCCAAGCTGTCTAATCACTGGTAATTCTTATTTGAGTAAGCACAACTGCCATAGTGCAGGTAACCCACTTTATTTGAAATACATAGATTATTTAGCGGTATTGTTATTAAAAGAATAAATAAAACACTAAACTGCTTACACTGGTTTTATTTTCGTGGAAGCAGTTATTGCTACAGCTTGTTAATCACTGGGTAAAAAAAAACACATAGCGCAGGGGCTGCAGTCGCAGTTAAAGCAGGTAAGTAAGCGTTACCACGATAAGAAAACTTATAAGATAACAAAAATCTTGGATGCGTTTAAAAAGAATGCCAGTAACTTTGTTTTTGCAGTTGAAAACGTCCTTTATCATGGGACGTGGTTCTACCCAGTACAGGCTGGGGCAGACCTGCTGAAGAGGTCTGTGGAGAGGGACCTGGGTGTCCTGGTGGACGACAGGTTAACCATGAGCCAGCAGTGTGCCCTGGCTGCCAAGAAGGCCAGTGGGATCCTGGGGTGCATTAGGAGGAGTGTGGCCAGCAGGTCGAGGTTCTCCTTCCGCTCTACTCTGCCCTAGTGAGGCCCCATCTGGAGTACTGTGTCCAGTTCTGGGCTCCCCACCTCAAGAAAGATGAGGAGCTACTGGG